AATAATGCCCCCCCCCCCCAACCTTTTTCCCGTTAAAAAAAAGATAATATTTTTTTTCCCTTGGCCATCTCCTTTAAATATAATTTGCTTCTGGTGCGTCCTTCTTCTTCTTCAAAACCGCAGCACCCCCCCCCCGGTCCCTTTCAAAACCCCACATGTTTATATTTATATATATAACAGTATTGAGTTTTTTAAAAAAGGCTGTAATGCAGCCAGCTTCATGTGGGACGTCTGAACCCCGGTAAATAGTTTTATTTTATTTTTTTCTTTACAAAGGATTTTTTAAATTAAATGTCACTGTTTTTTTTTTTCAACCCTTTGTTCTGTGGCTGCACACCACACAGAACTTGATCACGGGCCGTTCACTTCGGGCATGTGTGCGCCTGTGAGTTTTTCCCGTAGCCTGGTACAGGAAGGTATTGTTATTTTCGTTATACGGCGACTGTTATGTCTTAATGCTTGGTTATAAAATGACCGCCAGTATCTTCTCTGTTCAACGGGTACTTGTACAACGTCATCTCTATTCCGGGATCCGACAACGGCCTGCTCCTATTTTGTTGATTATTTCTTAAACCAAACGGTTGGCGAAGGCAGTGCGCTCTCACTACGACACAGGACAGTAGATTTCGTTGCATATTATAGAATATGAGAAGTTAACTCTTTTTTTTTTTTTTTGGTAACACTTGAACCCACCGGGTTTTTTCTCACAATAACCGGACCCGTTGTAAAAGATCTGCATCGCTTGAGAGAAGTTAACTCTTTTTTTTTTTTTTTGGTAACACTTGAACCCCCCGGGTTTTTTTTCACAATAACCGGCCCCGTTGTAAAAAATTTGCCTCGCTTGAGCGCTAGTCATTGGGATATAAGGCCCACTAAATTTTGCCGGATAAAAATTTTTTTTTTTTTTTTTGGTAACACTTGAACCCACCGGGTTTTTTCTCACAATAACCGGACCCGTTGTAAAAGATCTGCATCGCTTGAGCGCTAGTCATTAGGATATAAGGCCTACTACATATTGCCTGATGAACATTTTTTTTTTATTTAAACACTCGTGAAATAAAGAAAAATAAAGTATACCGACAATGAGGAGGAGGCTAAGGGCAATGAAGTGAACTGATGACGAGTTCTGTGGCCTGGGACTTCCCCTTCATGTTAATTGTTACCAATCATTGTCGTGTGCCTGTAAAGTCTGATAAGGTTAAAGGATGACTGTCTATTCCAGTTCCTGTTATATTATATACATACGTGAAATTTTGCAGTGCACAGTCGGGCTGAAAAAAAACAGCAGTAGTGACCATGTTCTTCTCGCGAAGTTACCCCCCTCCCCACCCCTCACCTAACCCCCTCCCTACGGTCAGACCTTGACATAGTACGCTGCCTCACTAAAGGAGATAGATCACCTAAAGTTAACATTTCAGCTGCCCCCCTTTGTACCCACATCTCAGACCGTGTTTATGGGCTAACGAATCTTATTCACAGAGAGAAAAAAAGAATAAAATGATTAAAGCCATGTCGCTAGTGTACATTTAAAACATTCACTCAGTGTTCACATGACTACTTCCACCACTTAAGATTGGAATACACCATGATGATGACTTCAGCAGAGGTCAACAGGAACATTTTGGTTTTATTTACTCTTTTCTTTCAGGGTGTCAAATCTATGGACTGTCGTCTGCCATCTCGGGTCTGGTCACGATCAACACTTTAGCCGCCATCTCGTTTGACCGTTACATCGTCGTAGTCCATAGACTCAGCCCCATGCACCGCATGGCGAAATCTACAACAGGTGAGGAGGCCGTCCGCAACTTGTTTCGTGATAGTTGCAGGCATGGGCGCCCGCAGAAAACTTTCTGGGGGGGGGGGGCAAACAAAATCGATTAACTTTCCAGGGGGGGGGGCAAAAAATTTTTAGTAATGTTTTAATATAGTTTTAATTTACTGTAGCGTACTTGTATGGTGAACGAACGGACAGGACATCAGCTTAGTTACTTTCTCTTTATTTTCTCTTTACTTTAATAAATTTTGTGTCTATTTCTGTCTAAAAAAAAATTTATCCAATCAATCCGGGGGGGGTCAAGTGCCCCCCTTGCCCCTACCTGCGGACGCCCATGGTTGCAGGATGTATTGCTTACAAACAATTTAGTCTGTGGGTGGGTGCGGAGGGGGGGCATTTCAGATGTTCTGATGGATTTTAGGCTTACTGCAGAGTTTTTATAGTGTAAAGTGTAGGGGGGGGGGCACTATTCTGGGGAGTGGGGTCATTGAGTTATGGCAGAAAATTTAAGATAATTTAAAATTGCAGTGATAGATTTTGGTGCATACCTAAATTTAATTTTGCATCATTCTGCACTTAATCTGAGAGTTTCGGAATTTAGGTGCCAATTTATTTTAAGTAGTTACTAAATAGCATTGTTGTTGTTGTTGTTTTTTTTTGAAAACTATTTAATTGTTTTATAATAGATTTCGATACAAAATCATGGCCTTCACATAAAGCAGGTGTACGAAATATGTTTCTAAATATATCCAAGTTATACCCGATGCAAAAAGTTATACCAGATGCAAAAAGTTATACCAGATGCAAAAAGTTATACCAGATGCAAAAAGTTATACCCGATGCAAAAAGTTATACCAGATGCAAAAAGTTATACCAGATGCAAAAAGTTATACCAGATGCAAAAAGTTATACCCGATGCAAAAAGTTATACCAGATGCAAAAAGTTATACCAGATGCAAAAAGAGAAGAAGAAAAAAAAATGTTTGGTAGAAAAGTCTAAAATACACCTCTTATAAATTGTATAAATTGTTCATAAACGGCACATATTATAATAATAACTATATTTTTAGAGAATGACAATTTAACACCCTGCCCTATTTTAAAATGTAATCTCATTTTGTAAAGCCATAGACATTCAAAACAGAGACATTTATGGCGGTGGAAAGTTAGTTTTAATTCGGTATTGTTGTGTGCCGCATAACCGCACTTTTCCCAATAACCTCAGGCTTTAAACTCGGTATTTTGACAAAAAGGACGGATGGCGTGGAGAGGGGCTTACAGCAGCTCGGAATCAAGGCATAAAAAAAAGAAAAGCATCAGTCAGGTCTGAGTGGAAGGATGTGGTGAGGCAGGCCAAAGCCCTACATTGGGAAGTAGCGCCACAGGGATAAATGAATTTTGCACGCAAAACAATATTGAAAATAGTTTGTTTTTTTATAATATACTAACAACATCAAATGTATTGAGCGTAGCGATTTTTCACTGGTTCCACATTTCCTTCATTTTAATACTTTAAAGGTAAAGTTACAATCCTTTATTTTTTAAAAATTATAACTGTTTCATTTTTGTTTTTAAAACTATATATTCGCTTTATTTTAACACTTTTTCCGGGAGGGGGGGCGTGTGACTTGATGTCCCCTCTCTTCCCTTTTTTTCCTGAGGTTCCTCAAATAAACCCTGGTAGCAATCTAAAAAAAAAGACAACACTATACGTGAACAACGAAAAGTGGTGGTGCGGCTCGAAATAGGGAGCGGACTATTTTTCAAACAATAAATAATACTGTATTTAGAATCGGATAGATTTGACTTAAATGTATCAGATCATTATACATATTGAGGGAAGCGATATTAAAATGGTTCCACTATTTTCATGATTTAATTCAACGATTTATAAAAATGACAGTTGTGTAGTTGTTTCTTTTTCTCAAATATAATACAGATTCGCTTTATTGCTGTACATATTTTTTTCTAAAGGGGGATGGGGGGAACTTTGACTTTTTCCGGGAGGGCAATGCCCCCGCCCCGGAAAGATGCCTGAAAGACACATTGGTTACAAGATGTCAGTAAATGACGTCATGCAGTTCTAATTTTTGTTTATATGTATATTTGAAGAAAAAAAAATATTTTAAAAAATTGTGTGTGTGGTCATTGGTTATCACCAGAATAATGTATGGATTACTTTTTTCATTGAACGAACCCGATTAGCGGGCACGATCAGTTGCCAGGTTAGGGCCCACTGCACAGTGATGGGTACTTGGGTAGAAAAAAAAAAAAAAACCAACGTTATAAGACCAGAAAAAGGATTTTTTTTTATTAAAAAGATCCACCTATGAACGACCAGTATGATACTATTCATAATCAGATCAGCTTTGACCTAGTCTTGCTAACAAGTCTGCTTAAGATAAGGAAGAGCTTCAAATGTTACACACATTGCTGAACAGGCAATGAAATTAACATATTTTTTTTTAACAGCTGAGTTTAACATCACAGGGCTTGAGATCCTTTGAAAGGCATCCAACTCAAACTATATCATTCCAAATGATAACAAAACTAATTTCATTCGTTCAAAACACTGTCTCGTGTTAAAAGTTGGCTACTTCTTATCTCGGGCTATGTAACGCTTTCAAATGGCTATCCACCTGTTGCCGTATTTTTTAAAAACCGGAAGTTCAAATCCCGCCGATATGCCGTGTTATATTAGTATTAAAATTATTAAATTCCTTTAAATTTTGCACAAGTTGAAATCTCAGAAACAGTTAGTCATGTACAATTTGTATCTTTTCATCCGGAGATGTTTAACCAATTAAAAAAATTAGCGTTGAAAAATTATTTTTTTTTAACAATACAATTATTTTAACCAAAAAAAAAGAAAAAAAAATGTTTTGAAGACACCTTATTATTATATCGAAAACGGAAGTTTAGGAACTTATTTCCACCAAGATGGCATCGGCCTTGGTATTTCTAGATCCGGTCGTAGGAAACTCGTTAGTCACAACGTATATTTTTGACTCAAACTGGACCCCCCCCCCTCCCAAACCCATACGTTTATTTTTTACACACACATACACACATAAATTCTACTCAAAAACACAAACCAAAACTCAATGACATAGTTTAAAAAGCTATCCATTATTTAGTTTCGAGCATTGCCATTTATTCACTAATGATGGGTTTGAACTCTACAATGTGTTGTTTCGTTTTCTTTTTTTTCTTTTCTCCAGGCACCATTATAGTTTTTATCTGGCTGCTGAGTATAACATGGTCCATCCTGCCTCTCACCGGCCTGGGAAGTTACCGCCTGGAGGGCATGGGGACATCCTGTACATTCAACTACGTGGACAGAAGTTCGCCCCAAATCTGGTACTTCCTCTCGCTCGTCGTCTTCAACTTCTTCATTCCGCTCCTGCTCATCATTTTCTCCTACTGGAGGATATTCTCGTCCGTTAAAAAAATCAAGCGGGAACTGAAACTTTTACAGAGCGACAGCAGCGCCATCTTGCGCCAAAGGCTGGAGACCCAGGCTGAGATCAAAACCGCTTTGACCGCTGTTGTGATTATATGTATCTTCTGTACCGCCTGGTTGCCGTACGTCGTCGTTGCTTTCGTGGGCCTGTTCGGGCCGGAAAACTACATCACTCCGTTGGTGTCTATGTTTCCGAACATCCTCGCCAAGGTTTCCACCGTGTCCAATCCTATCTTGTACTCCGTGGGGCACCCGGTGGTCAGGAAGAAGATGAGAAAACTGTTGTTCTCGGGTTATAACAGCTCGTCTTGGCGTCCGACATCGGCCACCGCCCCTAACAGCAGCCCGGTTCATTCCGATAATCTACAGAACATCAGCATGCCAACATATTTGTAAGGACGATACGAAATCGATTACAACCTCCACAATATCCGCATGTCAGCATATTCGTACGGACGATGCTAAATCGAGTACGACCTCCACAATATCCGCATGCCAACATATTCGTCAGGACGATACGATACGAAATCGAGTACAACCTCCACAATATCAGCATGTCAACATATTCGTCAGGACGATACGATACGAAATCGAGTACAACATCCACAATATCAGCATGCCAAATTATTCGTCAGGACGATACGATACGAAATCGAGTACAGCCTCCACAATATCAACATAGCAACATATTGGTAAAGACGATACGACAACGGGTACATCCACGACAAACGAATCTTCTATATTCCAAACTGACGGGCGGAACGATATTTGAAACGTACGATTTTATTTGGCTTCGTCAGTGTTTCAAGGCCACGCCAAAGTGTTGTTACTTGGTTTTACCAGTGTGTCAAGGCCACGCCACAGTGTTGTTACTTGGTTTCACCAGTGTGTCAAAGCCACGCCACAGTGTTGTTACTTGGTTTTACCAGTGTGTCAAGGCCACGCCACAGTGTTGTTACTTGGTTTTACCAGTGTGTCAAGGCCACGCCACAGTGTTGTTACTTGGTTTCACCAGTGTGTCAAGGCCTCGCCACAGTGTTGTTACTTGGTTTCACCAGTGTGTCAAGGCCACGCCACAGTGTTGTTACTTGGTTTCACCAGTGTGTCAAGGCCACGCCACAGTGTTGTTACTTGGTTTCACCAGTGTGTCAAGGCCACGCCACAGTGTTGTTACTTGGTTTCACCCGTGTGTCAAGGCAACGCCACAGTGTTGTTACTTGGTTTCACCAGAGTGTCAAGGCCACGCCACAGTGTTGTGATGATAAACGTTAGGGAAAGACTCGGGGAGTATTTTATTGATATATATTGGCAATGAGTAAAAATTTCTTAAAGGGAATAATTAATATCAACTCTTACTAAATCTGTTGACAGTGGAAAGCCAATTTTAGCATGATAGTCAAATCAAATGTGACCGTGGGGAACGAGCGACCCGGGTTCAAATCTACCGGAATCTCAATATTTATTTTTTTTATTGAGTCTGATTTTTTTATAAAAATTATATTTTCGCACATTTAAAATCTGTATCTTTATAGATTTTATAGAATGTAATCAGCAGGATATTCGTGGACATGTACGCCATACTATTATGTACACGTTATGACTTACACGTACAAGAATTAGGTCAATGATTCCATCTACAAATCATGTACATTGTATCACATTAAAAAGGCCTATCTGTGTTGTGTACACTCAGTGCTTGAGTTCCTCCGGCGATCACGGTGTCCATAGTTGGCTTTGACGCCAGCACTTTTGTTTCAAACTTGTCCAAGTTTTTTGCCGGCTTTTCTTTCTTCTCTTTTTTTTTCATTTTAATATTAAAATTTAACGATGGAGATTTACTTTTTAAATGAATGCTACGGCACTGAATGTCTCGATCTACATACAAAATGTCTAAAGTTAGTTTCAAATATAAAACTACTCCTTTCCAAGAAGAAAATGTATATGCAGGGCCGTCATTTGGGTAGGGCCCCACCCCCCACCCCCTCTGAATTTACAGGTTTTATTTAAATTGCTATGTACTGTGGCGCCTCCAGTAATAAACAACTTAACAAGCTGACAAGTTTTGGGTTTAACCTCCCCCCCCCGGCCACACACACACACACACTTTGAAAAAACCTGAAATGACGCCCCTATGTAGATGGCGTATAAAGTTATATTTGATGAGTATTTGTTGGATTAGATGTCTAGATAGGAAAAAAAAGTCAATAAATTATTTGTAAGAACTATCATTTGGGCTTAAACAACTAATACTAATGCAGTGTGCTGTTGTGTTTCAATGCAAAGCTTTGAGTTGCCCATCAGTAAGTCAATACAAGAATTTCATGCTGGCTGCCTTCCACCCCCCCCCCCCCCCCCGACGAAAATTGTCTTTCAATGTGCTCTTGATTTTTGTATAAATGTTTGTACAAATGTACACAAAAATATATGTACAAATGTACACAGAAATATATGAACAATTGTACGCAAAAATCGTGAAGGTTTCGACTCGAGCATTGTTTGTCAGTCCTCAAAATTTCAGGCAAAATTTCTCAAAGCTCCTCAAACTTCACATGGCTGATCTTTGGTACACAGCATTGTCTCAGCGTCTATTTTAATCCTTCAAAGTTTGAAGCGAATTCATGATTTACCGGTACGGCTATTTTATGCGATCTAGAAAGAAAAAAGCGATTTAACATGCGAAATAACTCCCGGCATGGCCGTAATATTAAGGAATAGTATGTCAGGCGTAGGAAAGAGGATTGGGGGGGGGGGGGGGGGGGGGTGCGTG